GAGAGAGGAGTAAAGGAGGCCATCTTTGTGAAAAGAAATCGTCCATCATTAAACAGGGGTGGAGGCCTCCGGGTTCAACTGTCCCCCTCTTACAATGCTGTGATTGCTAGTATCACTCAGCCCTCTGTGAACAGTAAACAGCCATCAGTGTGCTAATGATCCATTGTTAGGCTGATGGTCCTTCTTGACCATGTTAGCAGCTGGTTTTGGTTGTCAGCAGCAAAACTGGTTGATCCACTCTGAGAAGGTGTTATTTATAAGACTGAGCTGAATGCAGCACCTCAGACTGAGGAAGTCTTTCGGATGAGAGACGAAACGTTTCAATATTTTTGTTGTTGTTGTTGTTTTGCTTTGTTTTGTTTTTTGAATGTCCAGAGGATCAGATTTAAGTTTTTTAGATCTCACTGGTACATTTTAATCTTCAACTAACTTCTTGGTCTGTAGCCTTCATACATCTCCTACATTTCACTACATGAGTGCAGCTACAGCGTATGCTCTCAAGAGATAATTACCTGCAGTGTCCCCTCGGTGCACACCGAATTTGGCAAAAAGGCCTTCTCTTACTCTGCTACTGTTTCCTGGAACACCTTGTAAAAAGATCTGATATTGTTGACCTTGACCTCTCTAAGGGATTTTAAACAACTGTTAAGTTCATGACAGAAACCAACACAGACATGTTCCTGTTTTTAGTATTTTACATCGCTTTATAATGTAGCTGTTTTTGTTTCGTTTTTATATAATTTAATCTATTTTTCATCTTATATGCTTGCTATATATGATTATCTGTTGTCTGTACCTCATCTGTTCTTTGTTTAAATCAGGTCTCTCTTGTAAATGAATCCTCGAGGCTCAGTGAGACTAACCTGTATAAATAAAGGTTGAATGGGAAAAAAATGTGGAGCTTACCTCTGACAGCTTAAAGCTAAGATATATATAACTTGTGCTTGCAGGGTGCCCTGCAGAGTGTGAGTCATGCATGAGTAGTGAAACGTGCACACAGTGCCGGCCGGGTGTGTACCAGCTGAGTGGAAGATGTTACCACATCTGTCCAGATGACTATGAGCCGAATGACAAACTGATGGAGTGCACACAGCAAGGTAAGTTCAGCGTTTGTCTGAAGCAGATGGTTGATTATCCCATGAGGACAGTCTGGACATTTCTGAAGTGATGTCTTGTCTGATAGTTATCAATGATTAGTACCGCATCAGCTGTGACAGACCACAGAGTATGGAGAAAGGCTAAAGGCTAGCCAAACCATTTCCAAAATGACCAGACTTTCATTTTAAAGCATTATTTCAGATCTGTTGAAATGAATGGTTTGTGGAAAGGTTGTAAGTACGGTAGTTAATATCTTACCTGTTGAAGGTAGCTTTTTGAATCACCTCCAGTAGAGAAATACTGGTCAGTTTTGACAACACTATAAAGCTTGACAGCCTCATAAAGGTTTATGAAATAAAGAAATGACTGAGATTGAAGTTTAAAAAAAAACATCCATTGACGCCTGACAAGCAAAACTGAGAATATATAAATGTGAACACCAGTTCATCCACTCGGCATGTTTGGTGTAGTGCATGTTATACAGTAACTTTGGACCACTCAGTAGCAGTCCCAGGCAAGACGCTTCAGACACTGTCTCTTGGTCAAGAATGGCTTGACACAAGGAATGTGACAGCTGAAACCCATGTCTTGCATACGTCTGCGCATGGTGGTTCTTGAAGCACTGACTCCAGCTGCAGTCCACATTTTGGAATGTGTTTTGTTTCACCATCCTCTCCAGGGTGCAGCAATCCCTATTGCTTGTACACTTTTTCTACCATTTCATTTCCTTCCTTCCGCCTCTCTATTAATGTACTTGGACACAGAGCTCTGTGAACAGCCAGCCTCTTTAGCAATGACCTTTTGTGTCTTGCCCTCCTTGTGCAAGGTGTCAATAGTCGTCTTTTGGACAACTGTCAAGTCAGCAATCTTCCCCATGATTGTGTAGCCTACAGAACTAGACTGAGAGACCATTTAAAGGCTTTTGCAGGTGTTTTGAGTTATTAGCTGATTAGAGTGTGGCACCATGTGTCTTCAATATTGAACTTTTTCACGATGTTCTAATTTTCTGAGGTACTGAATTTGAGGTTTTCATTAGTTGTCAGTTATAATAATCAACATTAAAATAAATAAACATTTGAAATATATCAGTCTGTGTGTAATGACTTAATATAATATACAAGTTTCACTTTTTGAATTGAATTACTGAATTAAATAAACTTTTTCATGACATTCATGATACAGAGGACGTCTAACCCCAACTGAACTAAATGTAAATGTAAATGGCTAAAAGTAGAGGTAAAGTCACACACAGCCACTGACATTTAAGATAAATTTAGTCCAGTGTTAGCCTAGACTTCTATTGTTTTCCTAAAAATGTTCACACGGGAACTCACAAACAGGGACTGATGTAATGATTTTTGATGAACTTGTTGACATCATGATCTCCTACACAGGTTGATAATGTATTATTCTGTCTGGAAGAGATGAAGCATAATTTTAACACTTTAAAAAACAACTGTAGGTTTTTAACTCACCACCACAGCTGAATGCTGTCCAGGCTGGTGGTGTTGGCCGCCAGCTGAACTAAACTGAATCAATTTCAATGTGTTGGGGGTGTTGCAGCTGCACCCCTTGCTCTGTCGATCGGGCGTCTACGACGACAGTAATCAGTTTCGGTCTTCTCGAGTTTATAAATTGAAAATTTATAAATAAATTAAAAATGAGACTTGTTTCATTTTTAACTCTGCAGAAAACATAACTTGTGTTTCTCTCTTCTTTCTGTGCCTTTGCTGCCAGTGCACTGCAAGGTGGGGGACTGGAGCGACTGGAGCCCCTGCTCCAAGTCGGGCAGAACCTGCGGCTTCAAAAGGGGCCAGGAAACCCGCACCAGGCAGGTTCTTCAGTATCCATCACCTTTTGGCAAGCCCTGCCCAGAGATCTCTGAGGTCAAGGATTGTCTGGTCAAGAGGAGAAAATGTCCAGGTAAAGACAAAACACTTCAGCAGCATGACTGTTAGTGTGCCCAGCGGGGGCCACATCCAGATTTAAGACCCAAAGTGTCGGTGATGAAGTATTCAATGGTCAATTCCAGAGCAAGCACGTTGTACAAGAGGATTGTTTACTCGAACAGGGGGGGGGGGGGGGGATGCGTGATTTTTCAGTGGGTACACTGTGTTTTGTCATCAAACCCTTTGAGTTTCAAGCTGTAAAACCACTTTTTGTGCACTTGGTAAACAAGGAATCGTGTGATTAGTTTTAATGAACAGGGCGAAAACTGCTTTCAGACGGGCTTGTCATTTTATACAATCTGGTGCCTGCAGGGTTTTTATGGCCGCTCTGTGTTGTGTGTGCTGTGCGTGTGGTTGCTGAGGTTGTTGGTGGCTATGGCTGGTTGTCTTTTTTTTTTCTTCAGAGGTTCTGTAGTGTTAAATGACAGACTGCAGACAGGGTAGGAGGCTCTGATCCAGCCCCCAGAGGCCTCACACTTTCAGAACAAACTGTGTTTGTACGGGTGTGCACAAATGTGCGTGTGTGCATGTGTGTGTGTTACAGTTGACTTTGGAGCAAAAACAGTCAGCTCAACATCAACATCCTCCCCTTGGGAGGCACAAGGCGACCAGGGGATCAGTATTGGTTTATCCCCACAGCTGCCAACACACACACACACACACCAAACCAACACATACATGCACAATACTCCAGACAAAGATCGACAACTGCACAAATTCTCTCTTACACGTGTGCACACAGACACACAGTCCAAACCGGTTTCCTTGAAACGACCGCAGCCGTGCTGAAGTTTGTAAAAGCAGGAGCTGGTGTGGGAGGACTCACGTTCTGTCTGTGTCTCCTCACTAATCCGTCACCCAAACCCATCACCACAAAAAACAGACAACCCCACCACCACCACCGTAAAAGCCCCATGTTGGCACCCCATCCAGCTAGAAGCATCTTCGGATCAATCCAGAGTTACTTTAAAGGAACAAAGGATGGACGGACTCAGAGAATGAATCAAGGAGAAAGTTATCATCTCTGCTCTTATTGCCCAACAGACTCCACGATGAATGGAGGCTAATTATCTGTCTCCTCACTGTTTACTCTCTGCAAACGCTAAAGGGTCAGTGGCCCGACCTCACCCCCCGCCCCCCAGTAATCCTCCAACAAACCCCCGACACTGATACATCCTTCTTCCCATCCGCTTCCTTTCCTCCTCTTTTGTATTATCTCCTTCCAGCCTCTCCTCCCCGGCCTGCGCTGCATCTCCTCTTCCTTTACCTCTCCTTAGAATATTACTTCATTCTTCCACCATCTTTTGCTCGTCTCCTTTGAAAACGCTACCTGTTCAAAGTTCTCCGACACCCATCTCCTCCACTTCTGTTTGCAGTTCCCACAGTTCGTTTGTCTTGAACGCACACTGGTGGGAAGGTTTTAGTCATTTCAAAAGCATTTACATGTATGTGTTTCACTGAACCGTCAGCAGCTTGTTCAAAGCTATGAGAGTTTTTGTCATACAAAATGGATATTTTTTTAATTATTGCTCACAGCAGCTTTTATAATAACCAAAAAAAAAAGGTCAGATGTTAGGTTTATTTTATTTACTTTAGTTCTATAGTTAAATCTATACTAAATCAGTTTTCAGTACCAGCTCGCAGTAAAAATCCAAACATCCAGAACATCTTAGCTCTTATTTTACCTTAAAGAAAAGACATTTGAAGGATATTACTGCGTTCACACTGAGTAAGATGCTTGATCTTTTTTAATAAGGTACTTTTTTACACAAATATAAACTCTAAGAGCTGTGAGGAGATTTTTAGAGTTTATAATAAAAAAACATCTTTAACCAGGTAGGAACAAGCGGTGCACTGATGTCCTCCGTCGCTGAGGGGTTTGAAAAATGAATGTTTGTATTTTTGGAGAGGAGTGTTTTTCTGAACTGGAATTGGACAAAGATACACCTTAATGTTTTTGGTGCAAGATGTTCAATAGGCTAGGGGAGTTACACTGTGTAGAGCGTATGTGTCAAACTCAAGGCCCAGGGGCCAAATGTGGCCCTCAATGACATCTTTTCTGGCCCCTAAGATGATATTTTAAATTTAAAATACTTTTATCACTTTAATTGTTTCAGTAATCTTTCATTATGATGTCAAAAGTGCAACAGAGAATGTCAAATGAGACCAATCAAATTCTTGTTGAAGAACGTGCAACCAAGAAAAGATGTTGGGTATCTAACTTGAGTTAATGTAGATTCTGAAACTGGCCCTTAGTTTGAAAAAGGTTTTAATCCCCCCCCCCCCCCCCTTTTTGTAAGTGAGTTTGACACCACTGGTGTAGAGGAATAGAGATAGTTGTTTTGTTTTGTTTGTTTTTGCTGTTTTTGCTTTGAGGCGGTGCAGAGTGAAGGATCCTGGAGAGCAGAGGGAGCAATTTTATCCACAACTAAGAGCAGTGGTGGAGCCAGGGGGTGGCCAGTGGTGGCCTTGGACACCACAAACTAATCTTTGGCCACCCCACTCATTTAAGGAAACTATACTTTTAAGCAATATAATATATATATATATATAT